GGAGTACAACTGCCCTAGGGATAGTGTACTCCCCCACTGAGGGGAGTACAACTGCCCTAGGGATAGTGTACTCCCCCCGGGGGAGTACATTTTCCCTAGGGCAGTTGTACTCCCCCAATTTTTGAAAAAGGCGTTGCAAGTGCTTTCTTTGAACGTCAATATTTGGCGTTCGTCAACCAGTTTACAGTGAGGAGTCATGGAAACGTGTCAGATAAACAAGCTTTGCAGCCCCGCTATTCCTCCAAACCAAGTTGCCAGCTCCGCTTCGCTCCACTGGCAACTCAGTTCGGCAGGGAGCGGGCCCAGCTTGGGCTGCCGGTGGCGTTTGGGACGGGCCTTCGACCCCCGTGTTGACGAATTCAGTCGAAACAACCATTTTTCTGCCTAGTATATCCTTGCCGTCTCCTTCGTTAATAAAACTTAACACCTTAAAATTCTCTCAGTACGCTGTACTGTGCCGCAGTTTCTAGAATATTTGCAATTTTTTTACCAAACTCCTCCTAATTTTTTGATGTTAGCTTTCGGGACCAATAACGCATTTCTTACATAAAAATGTATATGACGACACCCAGAAGATAATTAATATACTGGCGGGCATGTTGTAAAAGGACTACGAATGACTCCGAGCGTGTCCGCTTTGATTTCTCTATAATAAAAAGTAATAGCATAAAAGGAGCTTGTAAAATACAACAAAACAACGAAAGATAATGATTGGTTTTGCACGGAAGTGGACAAATATCACAATGGATGTACCTCCATAAAATAAGCCCACTCTTCTTAGAGGTTTTTTTTTTCACCAATGGCTCTACTTGAACAAAGGTGTAATTGTGTGAAATTACCCTTAAAAGGCTATATGAAAGTGCCCGATCAGAAATTTTGTTTAGTAGCCATTTAAAATGGAAAAACTAAATCTATAGATTATATAGCGTCGAAACAGTGAGATAGAGCAGAACGAACGAAATTTTCGTTCCAACGGTTCTACTTTTGCCAGTTACACCTTAGAACACCGTAAAAAAAAGATTATTTTTTCTAGCACATTCCTCATAACTTCTCAGATCCACGCAGGGGTAGTTGCCAGGATTTGCACCAACCGTTTCGCTGTCTAAAAGTGACATCAATCTTACCCTAAAAAATTTAGACCTCTGGCTCACGTCCTTCTTGGGGAACAGACAGACACAGGGGCTCTGGCTGTGGTTTGTCTGCCGTTTGACAGAGAGAATTGTCTGCTGTTTGACTACGGTTTTGCTACCGATAGACTGCCGATTGTCTACCGATGAGCTGCCGTTTAACTGCCTTTTATCTACGAATTAACCGTCAGCATCGACAAGGTTCCAGACAACATTCAGACTATTACTTTGCCTCGGGCACGCTATACCTAAAGACGTACACACACAAAACATACAGGAACAAAGTCAACTTAGATTTAAAGTCAATGTACCTTTATCAACGCCAGTGACAGCACCCCCTCGCAGCGGCCTCGGAGGTCCCACTTGTTCAATGTTCACGGGGATGCGTGAGTAACCATGTACTCCGATCTGCAGTGCCACACTTTAACAAGTGTTAAACTTTGCACATTGTGGTGTCTAACTAGGTTACACGTCAATTGGTGTTTAAACTTCCGACACTTCCGAAACGTATAGCAACTGTACACAATGTGGTTTCTATTGATAGCATAGAGCTGTGTGTCCAAGTGTGTAGAATTGAAACGTTTGCAAAACGCCTAGACGTTGCAAACCACGCAAGTGTGCAACTTGAGTTAAACCCTATTTAATGTGCAAAATCACGACTTGCACACGTTGGTGTGCAAATTATGAACATTTGTTGTACCAGTGCACCCGAAAACAAAAAGATTGAGCGGCGGATGGTAAAATTAATCCTGAACGCCTAAAAGTAACTTGATCTAAACCTGCTGGACCGTGCTACAAGCCCACACAAAATTCGGGTCAATTCTGCAATGGACTAGGGCGCCATTCCGTCTCGTCAGAGTTCCAGTCTCGGTTAAATAGGCATGGTGTCATAGTTAGTCGGTCAGCAATTTGTCCCGTGTACACCTAGAGCCCAAAGAGAGCACTTGCAGCGCCTTTTTCAAAAATGGGGGGAGTACAACTGCCCTAGGGAAAATGTACTCCCCCGGGGGGAGTACACTATCCCTAGGGCAGTTGTACTCCCCTCAGTGGGGGAGTACACTATCCCTAGGGCAGTTGTACTCCCCTCAGTGGGGGAGTACACTATCCCTAGGGCAGTTGTACTCCACCCCCCTCGAGGCAGGGGAGTACAACTACCCTAGGGACCGTGTACTCCCCCCTGGAGTACATGGTCCCTAGGGTCAATGTACTCCACCCCCTTGTGGTGGGGGAGTACAACTGCCCTAGGGATAGTGTACTCCCCCCTGGAGTACATAATCCCTAGGGTCAATGTACTCCACCCCCCTTGAGATGAGGGAGTACAACTGCCCTAGGGATGGTGTACTCCACCCTATAGGGGGAGTACAACTGCCCTAGGGATTATGTACTCAGGGGGCCACCATCCCTGGGAGTACTATGTCACGGTTACACCGGGACACCCGGTACCTTCATTCATTTTCGGGCAAATACAGGTAGCTTAGCCACTCGAAGAGGGTCCAACGAGGCAGGAACCCGACCGAGGAGCCGCAGTGCAACGAGCGTACACTCTTAATGGCAAATGAAAATATAGTATTTCTTACGCAAATATAGATGCGTAAGTGAACATTTTGCAAAGATGCCGTTTTAAAGCTGTGTGACGACAAATTTGTATCTGCACTTGGACAAAATACAAATTTATACCCAAGCAGGAGATGCAAAAAAGAAGTCACTACTCAGTGTGCACATGCTAAAGACATACGGCTTTGTTTGCACACCACGCGGACCCCTGCGGGGTTGTTCCACCGTGGGGCCCGCACACCGTCAGCGCCTGCACAGCACGGGCGTGGTCGATTGCAGGAAGGAAAGGCAAAGGGAGGTGAACTGGAGAAGGAGGCGGTGGTGGTGGTGAGGCGGGCCGCGGCG